TCACCAGCATGAAACACCTCGCATTAGTTATAATATTAGTTTTGTAAATATTATATTTATGGGGGAGGGGAAGTTCTGAGTCTGCATTGATCATTCAGCGCCATAGGGGATACATGGCAAACAGGTTGGATCCAATGGTAAATAGATCCATTTCTTTGAATCAAGAGCCCCTCACCAACATCTAGGCGCCTACTTTGAGAGGTATACATTGAAATTAAGGGTAAAATTGTTTCATTTCTGGGAAATAAGTTCGCTTCATTAGTAATTTCATTGAGCAAGCCACTGTGTACTTCTCCAGTATTTGTAGTATATAAGACTAGCACTAATTATTGAGTATTTAGCTATAACTCTCCATGACCGGGAAGAAAATATAACACAAATTTGAGTAGAATATTAAAATTAGGTGGGCTAGGATTCCTGTAATTTTTTTTTCTTGTTTAACCTGTACTGAGCCATTGTTTTCACTAAACCAGCGTTCATAACTTCCTTCAGTTTTAACTGTACACTCAAAGGCACTAAATTTATGTCCAGACAACGAAATAGATATCAAAATCACAGTTTATAGGAAAAAATCTAATTTGTATATTTTTACCAAAATACTAGAGATAATTCAACAATAGTTATCTGAGAATAAATACAGAAAATGGATATAGAGATATTATTATTATTATTGTTATTATTATTATTATTATTATTGTTATTATTATTATTATTAATGTGAGTATTTCATTGATAAAGTTTGGTTAAACTGTGGATCACTGACTTTTAAAAAAAGAATAATTAGAAATGTTTCAGATTTATCATAATTTTAATGCGAATATTTCGAAATAACAAATATTGAAAAAATATTCTTTAAATTTGGCAAAAAGTAAAATGGTATTTTCTAACGAGTACATATACCCAAAATCTGCTGCCTTATAAGAAAAATGCTGCTTAAATGAATGTTGGGATAGAAGGGGAAACATAACCAGAAGTTATAGCAGGGAAAGTCAGGGGCAAGTCAGGTCGTATTTGTGCTGATTTTTAAAGAATCAGACAAATTGACTAACTACTTGGAGGAAGTAATATACAGGAACAATTCAGTTGGTTAGATTTGTGTTACTGATATTGTGCATAAGACGGGATGGTGTCTGTGTTCGAGAAGTGACAGACTCCATATCTGAACTTCATTTCTCTTGTTTATCTTCGTTATTCACAGGAAGTCACTGAGAGAACGCTAAGCTCTGATGTAAGTCGCAAATGTAGGATCTCCTTAATAACTGTCCATGCGATAATGATAATTATTAAGGAGATCCTACATTTTCTCCTTATTTAATAGGCCAATGGGGGGATACTTATTCTTATTATTCCATGTGATATTTTTTTTTTTTGCTTTTTCATCTAATTTTCTAACTTTATTTTCTTTATAAAGTAACTATAATTCTTAAGACTTTTAATTTCGTATCTTTTCTATCCACCAACACCCCTCAAGGAAGGTTCCTTGATGCTGATGAGAGGCTCTTGATCTAGGTGAATTGGATCTGTGCTCCAGTTCCCTAAATTAAACCTGATTATCTTCCATATTACCCCCACAGGTGCTGCATAATAATACGGGTTTAGCGCTTCCCCCTTGATTATAATAATAATAATATCCACTAATATTATTAACTGCTATATTTCCAAATATTTGCTTATGCACTTTCCTCTGGCATCATTATGTAGTTGATGACTTCGATCTCTGACTTGGTAAGTCTCTTACAAGCCTCTTCCGAATGACACTTAACCGACACTAAGTTAAGGGGAAGCAATGACTTTACTATGGCCATCACATCAAACCTCTCTCACGAGGCATGTGCAAAACTGCTATCTGCAGGAATAATAGGTTTTTGAACACTGCATAAAATATAGTTTCTTGAATAAGACTGAAGTACCAGTATATATATAGGAACATTACACTGCTCCTATAAAAGGAAAAGGTAGCCACCAACAGCTAATATCAGTAATTAACTATAAATAATAGTAATGAATGGTATGAACCAGGACGAGGGATCACACATAGATATTTACACGGAGATGAGCCACAAATAAAGAGGGGCTCCAGTGAGAGGACAGTGAACTAGGGGAACGCACGGGGAAAGCAAGTATTCGACGCAAACTCTATACATAAATTTAAATATAAATACGAAAAAAATAATGATGTTGGGGCTGCATCTCACCGGTTGATTAATGACTAAGGGCTTTGGACAGCCAGCTAGATGCGAAAAGATAGGCAAATACACATATATAGATACATGCACACACGCAAGTATTCAAAACACACACGTACACATATAAATATGCAAACGCAGAAACAAAACACACACACACACACACACACACACACACACACACACACACACACACACACACACACAACACAAGGATATTGGGGTATAATACCGAGCACATCTCTTGAGGCACACATCAATCCAATAACTGTTGCAGCATATGGACGACTAGCAAACCTCAGGACTCTGTACAGCGTGTACGTCAGGTCCATACTGGAGTATGTAGCACCAGTTTGGAATCCTCACATGGCCAAGCCCGTCAAGAAATTAGAAAAAGTGCAAAGGTTTGCAGCAAGACTAGTCCCAGATCTAAGGGACATATCCTACTAGGAGAGGTTAAATCGACATGACAACACTGGAGGACAGGAAGGATAGGGGGGACATGATAACGACTTGTAAATACTTAGAGGAATCGCCGAGGTGGACAGACAGGATGTTCCAGAGATGAGAGACAAAACAAGGAGTCACAATTGGAAGTTGAAGACTCAGATAAGTAGCAAGGATGTTACTATTTGCTCGGAGCCGGCATAGAAGCCTCCGTTTTCATTCACATATACTGCTTAATCAAAGCAGGGATCGAACCCTCCGATTTATTTACAGTTTGAGCAGAGCAGGAATTGAACCCTCCGTTATCTTTGATATATCCGTTTCATTTTCCCCTGGTAGTTTAAGTTATTCTTACAAGTATGGAGGAATACCAGTTTTGGATGAACACTGGGAGTAAGTTAGGAATAACGGGGAAGAATTCAGAAGCTTTCATTAGAGCTAAGATCCAGGAAAGAGAAATAAAGGAGAGAGAGAACCTTGAGAGAGAGGAGAAAAATGAGAGAGATCGAATTGAAAGAGAAAGTCAAAAAAGACAGAAAGAGAAAGAGAAGAGAAAAAGGAGAGAGAGAGAATGGAAAGAGAGGAGAAAAAAGAGAGAGATCGAATTGAAAGAGAAAACCAAGATAGACAGTTAGAAAGAGAGAGAGAAGACAAAAAGGAGCGTGATAGACTTGATAGTGAGGAGAGAGCTAAAGTACGTGAGGAACAAGTTAAATTAAGAGAACTTGAGGAAAGAGCAAAGGATAGAGAAGTTGAGGAAAGAGCTAGAGAACATGAGTTAAGAGAGAGAGAAAAAGATCGCGAGCTCGAGAAATCTCGCCTTGAATTAGAGAATAAAAAGCTAACTTTTACACAACAATTAGAGGAAGGAGTAATTAAACATCATGCAGCTAGTGCACATATTCCAACACCTAATTTACCTCACTTCACAGAGGGTGAAGACATTACTTCATACATTATCAGGTTTGAAAATACCGCTACTCTCTGTGAATGGCCTGCTGACATCTGGGCTACCAGGTTAGGAATGTTATTTTCTGGTACAGCTTTGAATATCTATGCAACTTTGTCGCAGGATGTCATATGTAATTATAACCTACTGAAGAAGGCAATCCTTTAAGCATACAAAAAAAAAAAAACACAAATTCTTATAGGAAAGATTTCAGGTATGCCACCTTACAGCCTGGCCAAAACTTTCAGCAGATAGAGGTAACACTCTTTCGTTTGTTCGAGTTTTGGATAGAGAGTTCAGGAATTGATCACAGTTATGAATATCTTAGAGACTTCATGGTTGCTGACCAGTTCCTGACAGCTCTTCCCCACCAGATACGAACATTCATTAGAGAACGTAACCTGATTAAAGCTGAGGAAGTTGCTGAAACCGCTGACTTGTTTGCTGAGGCTCACAATTCCTATAACGACCTAAAGGGATCGAACCCTAAGGGCAATGGTTCACCTGAACCAAAAATTAAGAAGCCTACAGTAGAAACAAAGTCACCAGCTATTGTACCAACCTGTCATCGATGTGGTGGTATCGGACATAAACGTCCAGATTGTCCTTCCAAGAAAATAGAGAAAGTTGGTAGATGTTTTGTTGACGGTAATGACCAAGCACCCTTCTGTTCAGGAGCAGTTAATGGTATAAAAGTCTCAGACATATTACGTGACACTGGATGTACGTGCATCGTAATTTCGGACAAACTGTTCCCTGACTTTAAAACCTCTCGTATGTCCTCTATTCTTTCAGATTACTTGGGTCGTGAAAATATTTTCCCTACAATACGTTGTTACTTGAAAACTAAATGGTTCACCGGTTGGACTAATGCGGTACTAGCCCCAATTACTTGTTCTATAATAGTGGGTAACATTAAAGGTGCCGTTCTTCCTTCAGAGGCGGATCTTTCGTCACCACACGTGGATCTAAGTTTTCCAGCTCTTCCTTGCAAGTTAAATAATCCCTTTAACAATTCCACACCGGAAGCTGCATTGTCTCCTACTGTTCATTTGGCGGTGGAAACATATGATACTGCTCTCGATAGTGAGGTAGCAGGATCACCTGTCCACTCGTCAGGTGAAAGTAAGGGTATTGCCTCCGGCACTCTCAGTGTCTTGACTAGGGCTCAGACCATAACCCTGGCTTCTCCTACCTCCTCTTCTCCCACCGTAAGTCCTTTTATTTTCCCAGATTTTATGTCCAAGGATTACTGTCAATATACAGCACAATTGCCCTTCACTTCGGGATTGTCATAATCAAGCTTTTAACAACAAAGTTATCCACGAGAGATACGTATCTCATAAGTTTGAATATATTAATGGTATCTTATATAAATCTGTATTTAAATCTCATTCTTCAGCTACCACTACCAACTACCACTGTACACACTCCCACCCACCTTGAAGCATACTGCTGCAGCAGTAACACCCAGAAGGAACATGTCGACCACCTTGCTCATCCTACAGGATGTGGGACAAGCGGAAAAGGGAGGAATTATCAACGACTTCATGTATGGCTCCAATGTTGCAACTAGCCACATTTACATACGCATGGGTTTTTTGCGAAAAGTGTATGGACTTTTGTCAGTGCAGCTGCTAGTTACTACATTGGTGGCAGCTACATTTGCTTACACTCCATTTCTACGTCAGTCCATTCATGCCAGCCCTTGGATTCTTATAATGTGCCTACCTCTTGCTCTTGGGCTTCTGATTGCTCTTCATGTGAAAAGGCATCATGTCCCCATAAACTTCATGCTGTTGGCAGCCTTCACTGTCATTGAAGCCATCACTGTGGGAGTAGCAGTGAGCATGTATGATGGAGAAGTGGTGGTGAAAGCATTTGTCCTCACTTTGGTTATCACTGGTGGTCTTACAGCATACACATTTCAGACGAAGAGAGACTTCACAAACATAGGAGCTGGACTACTCATTGGACTGATGGTGATGATTGGCTTGGGCCTAATGAATATATTCTTAGGAAGCAGTGGCTTGGAATTGGCAATAGCAGGTGGATCTGCTCTAATCTTCTGTCTCTTCATAGTATATGACACACAGATGATGATGCAGAAGCTTTCTCCTGAAGAATACATTCTTGCAACAATTAATCTCTACTTGGATATTCTGAATTTATTCCTTGAACTCCTTCGCATTTTTGGTGACCGAAAAGGCTAAACTTATGAATTGTTTGTTTGCTTTGGATGTAAAATGATTTTCTGGAAAAATGTGACTAGGTTCCAAAATTGTTAGTATTAATTAGCTTTATGCTCATTTTATTTTAAATGTAGATAGATTCACTTCATACTGTTGCAAGAGAATTATGGAAAATATTTAAATATTACTAGAGGTCATGGCCTGCCTATCAAGGTTATTTAAGCATTGATTAAGGTTAACGTATGGTGATATAAAAGTGTTAAATATTTTTTAGGTAGTAGGTTGGTAGACAGCAACCACCCAGGGAAGTACTACCGTCCTGCCAGATGACTGTGAAACAGAAACCTGTAACTGTTTTGCATGATGGTAGGATTGCTGGTTTCCTTTTCTGTCTCATAAACACGCTAGATAACAGGGATATCTTGCTACTCCTACTTACACTTTGGTCACACTTCACAGACACGCACATGCATATATATATATACATACATCTAGGTTTTTCTCCTTTTTCTAAATAGCTCTTGTTCTTCTTTATTTCTTCTATTGTCCATGGGGAAGTGGAAAAGAATCTTTCCTCCGTAAGCCATGCGTGTCGTATGAGGCGACTAAAATGCGGGAGCAATGGGCTAGTAACCCCTTCTCCTGTAGACATTTACTAAAAAAAGAGAAGAAAAACTTTATAAAACTGGGATGCTTAAATGTGCGTGGATGTAGTGCGGATGACAAGAAGCAGATGATTGCTGATGTTATGAATGAAAAGAAGTTGGATGTCCTGGCCCTAAGCGAAACAAAGCTGAAGGGGGTAGGAGAGTTTCAGTGGGGGGAAATAAATGGGATGAAATCTGGAGTATCTGAGAGAGTTAGAGCTAAGGAAGGGTAGCAGTAATGTTAAATGATCAGTTATGGAAGGAGAAAAGAGAATATGAATGTGTAAATACAAGAATTATGTGGATTAAAGTGAAGGTTGGATCCGAGAAGTGGGTCATAATAAGCGTGTATGCACCTGGAGAAGAGAGGAATGCAGAGGAGAGAGAGAGATTTTGGGAGATGTTAAGTGAATGTATAGGAGCCTTTGAACCAAGTGAGAGAGTAATTGTGGTAGTGGACCTGAATGCTAAAGTAGGAGAAACTTTTAGAGAGGGTGTGGTAGGTAAGTTTGGGGTGCCAGGTGTAAATGATAATGGGAGCCCTTTGATTGAACTTTGTATAGAAAGGGGTTTAGTTATAGGTAATACATATTTTAAGAAAAAGAGGATAAATAAGTATACAAGATATGATGTAGGGCGAAATGACAGTAGTTTGTTGGATTATGTATTGGTAGATAAAAGATTGTTGAGTAGACTTCAGGATGTACATGTTTATAGAGGGGCCACAGATATATCAGATCACTTTCTAGTTGTAGCTACACTGAGAGTAAAAGGTAGATGGGATACAAGGAGAATAAAAGCATCAGGGAAGAGAGAGGTGAAGGTTTATAATTTAAAAGAGGAGGCAGTTAGGGTAAGATATAAACAGCTATTGGAGGATAGATGGGCTAATGAGAGCATAGGCAATGGGGTCGAAGAGGTATGGGGTAGGTTAAGAATATAGTGTTAGAGTGTTCAGCAGAAGTTTGTTGTTACACGAAAGTGGGTGCAGGAGGGAAGAGGAGCGATTGGTGGAATGATGAGGTAAAGAGAGTAGTAAGGGAGAAAAAGTTAGCATATGAGAAGTTTTTACAAAGTAGAAGTGATGCAAGGAGGGAAGAGTATATGGAGAAAAAGAGAGAGGTTAAGAGAGTGGTGAAGCAATGTAAAAAGAGAGCAAATGAGAGAGTGGGTGAGATGTTATCAACAAATTTTGTTGAAAATAAGAAAAAGTTTTGGAGTGAGATTAACAAGTTAAGAAAGCCTAGAGAACAAATGGATTTGTCAGTTAAAAATAGGAGAGGAGAGTTATTAAATGGAGAGTTAGAGGTATTGGGAAGATGGAGGGAATATTTTGAGGAATTCTTAAATGTTGATGAAGATAGGGAAGCTGTGATTACGTGTATAGGGCAAGGAGGAATAACATCTTGTAGGAGTGAGGAAGAGCCAGTTGTGAGTGTGTGGGAAGTTCGTGAGGCAGTAGGTAAAATGAAAGGGGGTAAGGCAGCCGGGATTGATGGGATAAAGATAGAAATGTTAAAAAGCAGGTGGGGATATAGTTTTGGAGTGGTTGGTGCAATTATTTAATAAATGTATGGAAGGGGGTAAGGTACCTAGGGATTGGCAGAGAGCATGCATAGTTCCTTTGTATAAAGGCAAAGGGGATAAAAGAGAGTGCAAAAATTATAGGGGGATAAGTCTGTTGAGTATACCTGGTAAAGTGTATGGTAGAGTTATAATTGAAAGAATTAAGAGTAAGACGGAGAATAGGATAGCAGATGAACAAGGAGGCTTTAGGAAAGGTAGGGGGTGTGTGGACCAGGTGTTTACAGTGAAACATATAAGTGAACAGTATTTAGATAAGGCTAAAGAGGTCTTTGTGGCATTTATGGATTTGGAAAAGGCGTATGACAGGGTGGATAGGGGTGCAATGTGGCAGATGTTGCAAGTGTATGGTGTAGGAGGTAGGTTACTGAAAGCAGTGAAGAGTTTTTACGAGGATAGTGAGGCTCAAGTTAGAGTATGTAGGAAAGAGGGAAATTTTTTCCCAGTAAAAGTAGACCTTAGACAAGGATGTGTGATGTCACCGTGGTTGTTTAATATATTTATAGATGGGGTTGTAAGAGAAGTAAATGCGAGGGTCTTGGCAAGAGGCGTGGAGTTAAAAGATAAAGAATCACACACAAAGTGAGAGTTGTCACAGCTGCTCTTTGCTGATGACACTCTGCTCTTGGGAGATTCTGAAGAGAAGTTGCAGAGATTGGTGGATGAATTTGGTAGGGTGTGCAAAAGAAGAAAATTAAAGGTGAATACAGGAAAGAGTAAGGTTATGAGGATAACAAAAAGATTAGGTGATGAAAGACTGGATATCAGATTGGAGGGAGAGAGTATGGAGGAGGTGAACGTATTCAGATATTTGGGAGTGGACGTGTCAGCGGATGGGTCTATGAAAGATGAGGTGAATCATAGAATTGATGAGGGGAAAAGGGTGAGTGGTGCACTTAGGAGTCTGTGGAGACAAAGAACTTTGTCCTTGGAGGCAAAGAGGGGAATGTATGAGAGTATAGTTTTACCAGCGCTCTTATATGGGTGTGATGCGTGGGTGATGAATGTTGCAGCGAGGAGAAGGCTGGAGGCAGTGGAGATGTCATGTCTGAGGGCAATGTGTGGTGTCAATATAATGCAGAGAATTCGTAGTTTGGACGTTAGGAGGAGGTGCGGGATTACCAAAACTGTTGTCCAGAGGGCTGAGGAAGGGTTGTTGAGGTGGTTCGGACATGTAGAGAGAATGGAGCGAAACAGAATGACTTCAAGAGTGTATCAGTCTGTAGTGGAAGGAAGGCCTAGGAAAGGTTGGAGGGAGGGGGTAAAAGAGGTTTTGTGTGCGAGGGGCTTGGACTTCCAACAGGCATGCGTGAGCGTGTTTGATAGGAGTGAATGGAGACAAATGGTTTTTAATACTTGACGTGCTGTTGGAGTGTGAGCAAAGTAACATTTATGAAGGGATTCAGGGAAACCGGCAGGCCGGACTTGAGTCCTGGAGATGGGAAGTACAGTGCCTGCACTCTGAAGGAGGGGTGTTAATGTTGCAGTTTAAAAACTGTAGTGTAAAGCACCCTTCTGGCAAGACAGTGATGGAGTGAATGATGGTGAAAGTTTTTCTTTTTCGGGCCACCCTGCCTTGGTGGGAATCGGCCAGTGTGATAATAAAATAATCTTCAGCGATAGATTATTCCCTCCTTGTTGTTCCTAAACCATGTCGAGAGACTGTTCTTCAAATGGCTCATGATTTGCCAGTGACCAAACACTTGGCCCATCGTAAGACATGGCATAAACTCAAGCACACTTATTTTTGGCCAAGCATGTACTTACAGGTTACAAAGAAGTATAGTTCTTGCAATAGGTGTCAGGTGCTTACTGCACAAAATACACACTCCTAGTTCCTGTATATTTATTAAATCTAAAACTTCCCTCCTGCAGAAACGAGATACTCCACCATAGAAAAGGAAAGTTTGGCCCTTGTGTGGGTTATCTCCAAACTTAAATTTTATTTACTGGGAAAAGAATTTATTTTAGAAACGGATCATAAACCTTTGATATACCTAGATACTTTTAAGGGAACCAACAGTCGCCTCTTGAGGTGGACATTGGCACTCCCAGCTTTTAAGTTTCATATTGTGTATATCAATGGTTCATCCAATTATTTCTCTGACTGGTTAAGCCGTGACAGTAGATTTGTTGCCTTACGCGACTTCGTATTAGAACTTTTTCCTCGCCTATTCTTCTTATACTCCTTGACTATATGTCTTGGTATGGGGGAGTGTGAGGGAAAAGTTCAACAGATAGGAGTAGCGAGCGAGTATATGGTAACGACAGTTTGATTGCCGGCTGCTTGTTAAGGTAGGGTCAATCTAGCTCCCGCTATCCCCTCCCCCCCTTTCTCCCCACCCCAAAAGGTGACGTGTGGGGCTCCGGCCAAACAGTAATCACTCGACTCACAGCTCCCAGCACAACTGTAAGTAAAAGCCTCTGCTCCTATTCTAGTGGATATTGGTTGAAAGCTTCACTTTTGACCAATAATAAACTTAGTCCTTTCAGTTTTAAGCTCCACATAAGACTTTTCGATAATCTTTTTAAGTATCTTGCACTTAACATGGAGAGTGATTTCTTAAGCTTGGAATGACAGATCAGGTCACCTGCCAACCAACGAGAAGTGTTGAAGGAGACGGACTGAAACCGGTCCTGGGACGTTATTTCATGATCTACCTACCTGATTAATTGTACAGGACACTACCCCTCATCTTTGCAGTGGTAAAGAACCTGAGTTCCTGTCATCTGGACTGACTATTCAAGGCTATAGACTCTGTGAAGAACAAGTCGTTGGGTTGTCACCAACACCT